CTAACAATGATGATCTGATAACTTGATAAGAAATGTCACCATATCAAATACAATATACATGTACTCAGATCACAACATAATCGAGGTTCAGACATGTATGCGCGGAGCTCCAGACCGACATAATGAGATTAGTCATGAGGGAGCCTTCACCAAATTCAACTTCAATAATAAGAACAAAGTGGGACCAAGTAAACCAAGACCTAACCGATATAAGCTGGGAAGATAGACTAAGCAACACAGACCCCAACTTATGCCTAGAACAGATTAACTCGGTGGCACTCGATGTATGCTCAAGGCTTATTCCTTTAAGAAAAAGGAGGAGTAGATGTAAAATAGAAAGAGACAGGCGCTCCCTTTACAGGCGACGAAAAGGAATAACAGAGCGGCAAAAAGAGGCCAATATATCTGAAATGCGTACGGAGTCACTGGTCAGAGAAATAGCAAACATCCAACTTAAGCTAAAGAAATCTTATAGGATTCAGGAATCGCGGGAAGAACTAAAAGTCATAAATGAAATCGAAAGAAACCCAAAGTATTTCTTTTCCTATGCCAAATCAAAGTCGAGAACAACGTCCAGTATTGGGCCCCTACTTAAACAAGATGGGTCCTACACAGATGACAGCAAGAAAATGAGTGAGCTACTCAAGTCCCAATATGACTCAGTTTTTAGCGAGCCGCTAACCAGACTGAGAGTCGAAGATCAAAATGAATTTTTTATGAGAGAGCCACAGAATTTGGTTAGCACAAGCCTATCCGATGTTATCCTGACGCCAAATGACTTCGAACAGGCGATAAATGACATGCCCATGCACTCTGCCCCAGGGCCAGACTCATGGAACTCCGTGTTCATCAAGAACTGGTACAAAGTTGTTAGTATAACACATCCTGGTACAAAGTTGTTAGTATAACACATCCTGGTACAAAGTTGTTAGTATAACACATCCTGGTACAAAGTTGTTAGTATAACACATCCTGGTACAAAGTTGTTAGTATAACACATCCTGGTACAAAGTGCTCTGTATAAATTCTTAATCTCATGTTATCATGTCGACATGATTTGTTTCCACTCTGGACACTTCATTATAATGAAAATATTAAAGTTCCTATAAATCACGAAACGGGTGGGATTCGAACCCAGGCAGATGAACCCTGGAACTCACCCGCCATGGGTTCAAACCTCACCTGTTTTGTGACTGGTTTGCAATCGAGTTATTACGATTTCGTGAGTCAGAATTCCCATATTTTTTACTCCTTATTAAAAATAAAGTAAAGGAAGATATAAAAGTGCTGAAACTTATTTTGTTTTTAAGACAACAACATCAACTTATTTTTGGAAATAAATAACGACGCCAGAGTTCTTCTTCATGTGTAATAATCCATCAGAAAATCTATTTTTTTTTTTTTTTTTTTTTTTATTCGCCGGTATTCTCCCGGCCCGGGTCTTTTCCAAGTAGTGGTGACCCGGCCTTGGCTCCCTATCTGGGGAGTGTCTCGAGACTTAAGTCTCCCATGGGAGGAGGTACAAGTACCTCCTCATCTTTGGGACCAAGTGTCCCCAGGCCTAGCCACATTCCCCGCCCTCACGGGGCTCGTAGGGAGAAGCTAGGCCTCTGGTCTGCCATCTACCCCGCCTCAAAGGGGCTCGTGGGGATGTCAGTCTTATGAGCTGCAGGTGGTAGCAAGCTCAGGCCTCTCTTGACCTTTTCTATCTAATTTATTAGAACATCTCACATTAGTCATAATTGCTGCCAGTCAACACCAAAGAGACAATGTTGATGAGCAAGTAATAGAAACGCATCGTTGGAAATGAAATAATTATCATTAATATCACAAAACTGTTTCTTAATATACATCAAAAGTACCTATACAATAATAGACAAGAAGAGTAAAGCTGCAGCAAAAAGTGAACAATCAGCATTGAAAACACTGCGCCGTCCTGAAGGTAATTATGAGTGTTTAGCTGCCAGATCCCAAAGTAACTAACTGGCTAGAGAACTTCGAGCAACTCCGGAGAAGTAATTTTTACTGGCCGATTCTGTAAGGGACAAAAAGGGTATTTGCCGACTGCCTCAGGTCTGACTGACCCGAAAATTTTAATGAATATTTGTTAATGAATATTTACAAACTAATGTAGCTGTCTGGACATGGTCCTAACTTGGTTATCATTATTATATTATATCAATAACTATGAGTAGATTCTAGTGAAAAATCAGTTCACCAAAACATCAAGGATAGACAATTTTTTCTCTATCAGAAAAATTGCTTGACACACTCATGCTGGAGGTGAATTACTTCGCGTATCATCAGGTGATGATGCTGTTACCCAGACTTTTTCTTCTGTTACTATTAACATTACTGCCGCTGCTGAAGACGAAGAATATGCAAAAGTGGATCTTGAATGAATCAGAACGGTGAACGTTTATATTCTGATCGTGATGATTAAACATTAATCAGAATTTCATTTAATTTTACACATAAAATGGCCAATTCTGCACTTCACTAGAATTTCACTCTCCGCTGTCGTCAGATTAGGACGTAGATTTTTTGAACGTTTCAAGTTCCACTGCTGTTGTTTTAGAAGGATGCTGAGAATGGGCTCAATAATTTTGGTCATAGGTCACCTGTACATACAAATTTTTCCTACAATCTTGTCCTCTTTACGACACAGAAGAGGTGAAAATTTAACGCTCGCTGGATGAGGCGTTTTCAAGTAATGATATCTAATCAGCGAATACCTAATTATTTAATATAACTCCTTCATTTCTAAATCTAAATAAGCCAGAGTGAAGCGAGATTCTTTTGGTTGGTAGGTAAGACATATGGGCAACAGTTAGGCAACTTTATTCCGAAACGTTTCGCCTACACAGTAGGCTTCTTCAGTTGAGTACAAAAGAAAGCAGGAGCAGTAGAGATGTGAAGACGATGTAATCAGTCCATCACCCTTGTAGTCGGAGATTTGAGGTTGTCAGTCCCTCAGCCTGGAGAAGAGTTCTGTTCCATAGTCTGAAACAATCTCAGATGGGCAGCAGTTGCCTAACTGTTGCCCATGTGTCTTACCTACCAACCTGTCGGTATTGTATACCATTTTAATATGAGATTCTTTTCTTAACCTCAGACAGCCTCGTACAACGTTGCTCATGTTGCAACATGTTGCGACATGCCCCAGTGTATTTTATGCCCCCCTTCCCCTGAATTTGCAACGCTTTATCCGGCATTGGGTTTGTTCTTACGATGATAGAGAATAGTAATAAAAACACGAGCAATGTCCTACTAAACAGTTTGAATCTAGACTGAAATTTGCAGTCACACTGGCAATTATGATCTCTCGTGATGTTTCTGTAAAGAACATAGTAAAGCTGTGTACTAGCACCAGTAGCGAACACAATGTTAGACCAGTATTGAAGAAAAATCTTTAAGTGGAGCAGTCATTTTGTGTAACATAGCAGCCTCCTGTCATTACCATAGATGAATATAATATCCTCTGGTCGCTTCATTGCCTAAAAGAAGTCAGTGTAAATGATCTAATTGCTGCAAACTTTGTGAAATATGTTGCCAGTAAAATTTAAGACAGCTTGAGAGTGCAAGCAGGTCTCTGGTCGCTACAATAAGTACAGTATTTTAAAAACAAAAAAGGTTCTGGATATAATCGTTTTGCTCAGGTTTCTGGAGAGTTGTAGCAGAATTTTAATCATCCTGTCCACTTCAACAGATTGTTGCACGCGCCACGAGAAATAAGACAGTTGACTGATATAGTGTGTGATGAACCTTTAAGTGCAACTGAACAAATAAACAAATCTCGCTGTCTAGAGCTTAATGGAAAATTACCTATTATTGTAACAGACATGAATGACCTGTGGTGGCCCGGTGGCCTGGTGGCTAAAGCTTCCGCTTCACACACGGAGAGCCCGGGTTCGATTCCCGACGGGTGGAAACATTTCGACACGTTTCCTTACACCTGTTGTCCTGTTCACCTAGCAGCAAATAGGTACCTGGGTGTTAGTCGACTGGTGTGGGTCGCATCCTGGGGGACAAGATTAAGGACCCCAATGGAAATAAGTTAGACAGTCCTCGATGACGCACTGACTTTCTTGGGTTATCCTGGGTGGCTAACCCTCCGGGGTTAAAAATCCGAACGAAATCTTATCTTATCTTAGATCATACATGAGGAAGCAGTTGTGATCCTTCCTGATCAAGCAGCCTCACTGACAACTCTTGGATGACAGTATTAAGGTTGTCACTGACAGCACTGTCTTTGTGTTATTCTTGCATTACACAACACAGAGACAGCAGATCACAACAGATCCGATGGAAGCCACGAGTCAAGGACCTACATCACATGACATAGATGCCACAGATGTTAATTGGAAACAACTGTTGTCAGATCATGTGTTCCCTGGTTGTGATACTGTGGAATGTTACTGTGGCATTGGTAATACTAAAACTGTAAAGGACCCTAAAGAAGGAAATTACTTGAAAAGTCTTAAGAGATCACTGGGCAGACATTGAAGATGCTGTTTAGGAATCAACAGTGTTTATTAAAGACTGCTATGGCCAGGAGTGTGGGCCAGTAGACCTGCAGCAGTGCTCCTTCATTCTTAAGTGGGTGTGACATGGACCTGCCGAGCATGAACCAGTAGGCCTGCAGCAGTGCTCCTTCTTTATGATTTTATAAGTTTCTCATCAATATTAGATAAATACTTAATGAGCTAATGAGACAACTTGCATATAATGTTCCGAAGTTTTGGGATGATGCCAGAAAGTTGTTTATATAATCAGAATATTCATTAGGTACTGATTTCGTTTTAAAGTTTTTATTTAATTTTTATTGGAATCCTTTGTTAATGCCGAACATACGCATTTTTATTATATTTAATTATATTTTTCCATTTTACCAACTGACTAGTTTCTGTGATATTCCCCGAGGGTTACCAACACATGGGAAGTTGTGTAGACGAAAGAAAAAAGGAATTGATAAGCAATTCATATTTCTTTCTCACCAGGCAGGAAATGCGTCAGTTTGATGTTAAGGTGTGTCTCATCGAGCCTGGAAACTTCGGTGCAGGTACGTAATGATGTTCCAATATATCTATCTATCTATCTATCTATCTATATATATATACAGTGGACCCCCGCATAACGATTACCTCCGAATGCGACCAATTATGTAAGTGTATTTATGTAAGTGCGTTTGTACGTGTATGTTTGGGGGTCTGAAATGGACTAATCTACTTCACAATATTTCTTATGGGAACAAATTCGGTCAGTAATGGCACCTGAACATACTTCTGGAGTGAAAAAATATCGTTAACCGGGGGTCCACTATATATATATATACTCTTTTTCTTTCAACACACCGGCCGTCTCCCACCGAGGCAGGGTGGCCCACCGAGGCAGGGTGGCCCACCGAGGCAGGGTGGCCCACCGAGGCAGGGTGGCCCACCGAGGCAGGGTGGCCCACCGAGGCAGGGTGGCCCACCGAGGCAGGGTGGCCCACCGATGCAGGGTGGCCCACCGAGGCGGGGTGACCCAAAAGGAAAAACGAAAGTTTCTCCTTTTACATTTAGTAATATATACAGGAGAAGGGGTTACTAGCCCCTTGCTCCCGGCATTTTAGTTGCCTCTTACAACACGCATGGCGTACGGAGGAAGAATTCTGTTCCACTTGCCCATGGAGATAAGAGGAAATAAACAAGAACAAGAACTAGAAAGAAAATAGAGGAAAACCCAGAGGGGTGTGTATATATATGCTTGTACATGTATGTGTAGTGTGATCTAAGTGTAAGTAGAAGTAGTAAGACGTACATCCTACAGTCATGTAAAACAGTTACCGGCTTTCGTTATACACTCACCTGGCAGGACGGTAGTACCTCCCTGATCGATTGCTGTCTACCAACCTACTACCTAGGATATATATATATATATATATATATATATATATATATATATATATATATATATATATATATATATATATATATATATACACACACAGTAGGAGGTTTTCTCTCAGATTGGTAACTTTTTTTGAGTGGGGGCTCTGCCCCCCTCCAAAATTTTGAGTGGGGGTACTACCCCCAATTTTTTTGACTGGGGATTCTGCCCCCTAATTTTGGGGACCCCTGATACCGCCCCCTACCCCCTAGGGGGCCATCAGGGGTTGTCAGATTTTCTAGGAGAGTTGTCATCTTTTTTCTATTTATTTTTCCAGAGGTGTTGCCATCTTCTTTTCATTTTTTTTTTATTTTTCGAAAATGTTGCAAATTTCTAGATTGTTTCTGCAGTGTTGCAAAATTTCCTCATTTTTCGGAAGTGTTGCCAACTTTACAAAGATTTTTCCATTTTTATTCTCTCCAATTCCTCGGATCGAGTTTTACCATCGAGTTAACGAAGTTTGTCCTCACTTTCATCCCTGCTCCATCTCCTTGGATCAAGTTTTAACCCCCCTCCTGACCCCCCCTCTTTTCCTTGAAATTATCGAATTTTTGAGTTACTCTCGAATTCTTTGGATCATTTTTTACCGCGATTTTTCGAATTTTATTTTCTTTTCCAAATTTTTTCGGAAGGTTACCTTAAGATCGAGCTCCAGCTCCCGGGTCAAGTTTTCCATATTTTCAGGACTCCAACTCCTGATGGGGGGTTTCCCTAAGATCAAGCACCAGCTCCAGGGTCAATATTTACCTCGATTTTTTTAATTTTTTTTTTTTTAAATTCTGGAGGGTTACCCCTCGGGTCGACCTCCTGAGTCACACATTTTAGAGATATTGTTAATGGTAAACACCTACTTGTCTCAAACGGTAAACACATACATGTCATTTCAGTCAATGGTAACACAGTTGGTGAAGTTCCCCTACGGGGCAAGTGGTAAACATATTCAGTCAAGTAGTAATACCCATAGTTTACCACTAGTGTGACGTCACGGGCAGCCAACAGGTTTGACCAGGTAAACCCAGGTGGGTGTGACGTCACAGGTGACCACCAAATGGTATGATCACAAACAGTAAACAGCTACGAGGTTCAACTTTTACTCCAGATGGAACATACCACCAAATGGTATATTATGGGACTCCATCACCGGCTTCCCACATATTACAGTTACCACTAATAACTTCTCTCTCTGTGGTAAACACCTGTGTTCTTACAGGTTTCTCTCAAGAAATAATACAAATTAGAGGTGAGTATATTCTACAACTGGTAAACACCTAAGTGTTATTTCTCTCAAGAAATAATGCAAATAAGAGGCAATACAAGTAAGAGGTCAGTATACAACTGGTAACTCGAGTCAGTGGTAAACAAAGTCACTTACGTGCCATTAGAGTCGATTAATCTGTAAATACAAGTAAGATACATATTTCAGTCATTTGCAACACAGTGAAGTTCCCCCACAGGGTAAGAGGTAAGTATGTAAGTGGTAATACAAGTAAGTGGTAGGTATATAAGTAGTAATACAAGTGGTAGGTATACAAGTAAGAGGTAAGTATATAAGTGGTAAACACATACGTGTCTTTTCAGTCACTTCACTTACAAACACAGTTGAAGTTCCCTTAAGGGGTAAGATGATGGTGACATCATTCAAGTGGTAAGATGATGGTGACATCATTCAAGTGGTAAGATGATGGTGACATCATTCAAGTGGTAAGATGATGGTGACATCATTCAAGTGGTAAGATGATGGTGACATCATGCAAGTGGTAAGATGATGGTGACATCATTCAAGTGGTAAGATGATGGTGACATCATTCAAGTGGTAAGTATACAAAGGTGAATTAATACACAACTTCATTTTACAAATATTTTTGTTAACATTACACATTTCAAAACAAAAGACACATTCTCTCTAGTACACACATTTTTCTCCGTCTTTTTCGCAACTCCAACAATAAGATACATTACTTCCACGAAAAGATACATTTTCTCTAGTTAACACAACATTTTACATGCATCACAAAGGGAGGTAACATTAACACCAACACTCTCTCTCCCCGGAATCTCTCCAACACCTCACCCCCACCACCCAGTCTGCCTACCCTGCACCTCACTCTCACTATACCTACACACACACACTACCTTCTAATGATACATAACCCACCATAATCCAATATTTTCCTCACTTGGTTTTAAAGTCTACATAGACTTACCATTTTTTTCACTTACAACAACTTATAACCTTCACTCATATTTTTTTCACTCCATCCACAACAAGACACAATTTTTCATTCTCAAAGTCACAACATATAACACAGCAACACCCCAACAATCCCCCAACTTTTCATTTTCACAACCCCCCCCCCCCCCCATCAAGCTTCATTTCACAAGTCACTATTTACTCGTCCATCCATCACATTTTCCATCCTCAATTTCACTTGTCTCAGTATTACATCAATTCCTTTTTTTTCGTTAGTTTTTTTTCAGTTTCTAAAACAAACAACTCGGGTATCACAACTTTACAACTCACAACACAATTGCCCCAAATTTGTACAAGCCCCAAAAACATCCCACAACAGGGAAACTTCACTACTCTCCAGTACGCTTCTACTGATTAATACATATATACCACCACTCAGAGGCCTGGTCAAGACCAGGCCGGGGGGGCGTTGCCCCCCTGAAACCCCTCTCCGGGTTACTCAATATACCTGGGAGGGAGTATACCCAACTCTTGAAAACTCTAGACGTCTGCAGCTCGAGATTTTCATTTTTTTTTTATATCCTTGTGAGGGTTGCTGTGATCTCTAAAGAGTAAATTTCCCAGATACTTCCACTCTATAAGACACAGGTTCCCAAGGAAGCTCTGAGGACATGGACTGTCCCATATAGACCCCACCATCCACTAGTATTCAACCAATATCACATTTACCTCTATATTTTTTTCAAATTTTCAGTTACCTTCATTCTCATTAAGATTTAAAACAAAACCCAATTATTTAATTAAAAATTCACAAAAACCCCCCATTCTTTGCTAAAATTCCCCAAAAAAAATCCCCATTTTTCACAAAAATTTTCCAAAAAATCCCCTCACCCTCCATCTCCCTTGAATGATGATCACCCTGTTTTCTTAACCCACATAGAGAAAAGAGAGAGAGGGGAGGAGAGAGAGAGAGAGAGAGAAAAAATAGAATAGAGAAGAGAGAGAGAGAAAAGAGAGAGAGAAAAGAGAGGGGAGAGAGAGAGAGAGAGAAGAGAGAGAGAGAGAGAGGAGAGGGAGAGAGAGAGAAAAGGTTCTTACCTGATTTAAACCATAGGTCACCCCGGGGAGGTGACCCTGAACCACAAACTGTCCCAACCTAACATTTCTTGCACTTATTTATTTGGACAAACATACCACAGACCTCCTTTCACTATATAAAACCCCTTAATTTAATGGGGAAGGATTTTAAAATCTTTACCCACAAGTCTTCTGTTGACATATTTCTTAAAACTCAATACTTCACCTGCGGGAACTCTCAATTTCCTAGGGGAAAGCCTTACCCGATTTTATTTAGGGTTTTTCATTTTCTGTAAGCATCTCCCCACACCTCACCCCATCCCCCTCACCCCAATCACCCCATCTCCCTACACCCAAACCCCCATCCCCTCCCAAACCCTCAAACACAAAATCATGAAAACCTATTCCAAAACATGTTTACCAAGATCTAAATCATCAAGTCAAAACATTGATCACTAAAATAAGATCACCATCTACTACACAGGAAGACCTAAACAACCACATAAAAACTAGATCAATTACAAGATCACTAACAACTACAAAAAAACACAAATGCTAAGAACACAAAACCCTTTTGAACTAAAAATCTCACTAAATTTTTCACATCCCCCTTAATACACTTTAACAAGATCAAAAAACGCTAAAACACCTTACTAAAAAACAAAAAGGCACAATACCGTGATGGAACAAAACCACAAAAACCCCCGCACATAAAAGAAGAATTTACGCGACGTTTCGGTCCCGAATTGGACCATTGACAAAGTCACACACATTTTTGTCAAGGGTCCAAGTCGACCGAAACGTCGTCGTAAGCTTTTCTCCTTTATGTGCGGGTTATTTGTGTCACTCTACTAAAATACTACAAATATGACAAAATCATATGTTATACAGACGTAATTTGCAAGGTTTAAACTTCGATAAAACCGTTAATAAGTTTG